ATTCCCCTGTAAACCTCTCTCCACACTTGATTTCCTCCTGGTCACTTAGGCATACTCTCTGTTACTCACGGTGGGTTTACCCAGCTTGTTTTTYAAACCAGACTCGGGTCTGCTAGAAATTGGCTCCCCCAGCTGTCAGCCCCAGGCTTCCGCTGCAAAATGGTTCCTTCTATCTTCTGCAGCTTCTTTTGCATACACAAGGATATTATGCAGCACAGCTTACTGTTTTTATTTGGGCAATGATTCTGCTCTCTGAACTCTATCTTGACTCTCCTCATTCCTACCGAGAATTGGGGGTTCCTCTAATTCCGTTACTGCTTTCCTGTGTTTACAGAGGGACCATTCTGGCTTGTGCCTCCAGCTGCTGCCACAGCTGTAGRGCTGAGGAGTTTTACTGTATTATATTCAATCTCTTCTGGGTTTCTGATATGTTTTGAGTGTCCAATATTAAATTCCAATAAATTCCCCCCTAATTCTTCTTCATTCACCCACATTGCTGAAAGCTGCCTGCCTGCTTTTTTGGTTTCACTCCATGGAGCTGCCAGGGAAGCAATCTATTCCGCCATCTTCTGAAAAGCCCCTCTTGAGTAGAATTCTGATAGGCCAAGGCTACATACAAGCTTGTATGACCAAAACTCCACCATCAACTGGGTGTCCTAAATAAACCATAGACTCTTCTTATATATAGCTAATAAATCATCATAGGCTTTTATTATTAAATTCATTGTAGATTAAGTTTATAAAAGTTAAAGCTTTATGTGTACATGGAAAATTTGTGTGCAAGTCATCATTACATTTATGAAATCATTCAGGGGAACTTGAAACTTAATAACAAGTTGAACTTTACAAATAATTCCTAACTGAATTGACTAAAATACGACTATCATATAATGCAGATTATCATAAACAGATTAGATCAAACTTAAAAGAAATGAAGTAGCAATGTAAAAAAATCTTAGTAGCAAGTATGTTTTTTATTAATGACCCACAAGAGTCCCATTACTAAAATTGGAGGTGGGACTATTTTTGTGGTTATCTAATATTTGCAGTTATGTGCTTGGTTTTGAACACTTTTAAATAGTAATTTTGGTGCTTTGAAATAATTACCAGAGAATGTCAGTGCTAGCCATGGAGTGCATCAGGACAACACAGGCTTGCGAACCATGACAACTCACTTTGAAAACATTCCAAGCATTGAAATAATCACCGATATTCAGGTATGGAACTCAGAGCACAGCATAGATGACAGAAAGTATAAGAATGACTAAAATACTCAAAGATGGCTGTATCATGCAGTAAAATCTCTTTGCAGTCATGTGTAAGGAAGATGAGGGTCTATGGGATCATAATCCTAAAATTACAAAGAATATGCCAATTAGGATTCTGTTGGAAATGATCAGCTCTAATACAGGGAATAAGAATTTACCTGAAGGGCCTGGGAAATTCATGAGATCAAAGGGAGGCTGAAGAAAGTGACTTAGGATACAAAATCGAAAAACTCCAGAAGTAGTTTTTTTTTTCTTTTAGCAGAAATTGCTATTCAATAGGCTTGCATTTATTTCTTCATTGGATTAAATTAACTCTTTAAATTCCCAATTCAAGAGAATGAAACCTCCAGGACTCATCCATGGATAAGTTTGTAACGGGTCCATTTCATGCTTTGAGTATGAATCTTGCTGCTTGATCACACATGGCTTATTCTTAAACTGACATGTATTTCTTCCTCCTCTCTCAACAGTGGGATTGAGGAAATATTAATGTTCTTCCCATTCTAGGCCAGCAAGTAAAATACAGGCTGGGAACTGGTGCCAGCAAGTGAACAACAGCTCTCTCAAGGTCACTAGATGAACAGTATTATATCTACTGATAATTATACCCAGAGCCTAGTCCTTGAATTYCCCTTTGAAGGTCCTTTGTTTTTCCTTGTGAGGAGAGGTGGCGGTCTTTGGACTTTAGTCCACTGCCTTCTTTCTTTGCTAGAAGTTTTAATAAAATTTATTTTTTTCTCAAAGACMTTTTCCTCATTATTTGAATTGGCACCAGGCACAAAAACCAAGCCTTCTGTATCAAAATGGTTTGAGAGCAATTATCTTGGTTTCCCTATTGACTCTTTAAGACAAAATGTAACAGGAAAGATATAAAGTATTCAAAGGAAATTATATGTTAAGGCAAAGAGAGCTAGATAAACAAAAAATGGCAAATGGTGAGGTGATGAAGCCACTGGTATTTGCTAAATAAAGGCAATGTTAGAACAAGTAAGCATGCTAGAAGTGTGAACAACATGTATATGGTTTGTGTGGACAGGCTTGCAGGGACTGCTCCATTGGATTCCTTCAGTTTGCTTTTACTTGGTAATGGAGAGCTGCTTAACTCACCCAATTCTCCCTAGGTGGATAACGTTTTTAAAACTTACTTTCATATGGGGGATTGAACCCAAGGGTGCTTAACCACTGAGCCACATCCCCAGCCGTTTTTATTATTTTGAGACAAGGTCTCACTGAGTTTCGTATGGCCTCACTAAATTGCCCAAGCTGCCCTAGTGCTGGAATTACAGGTATGTGCCACCACACCCACCTAGTGGGTAACTTTTTAATTTGTAATTAAAAATTTTTGTTYCAGATGGTGGACACAAAAGAACAATGGGAACTGAAGTATAACATTGTTTTGTTYTGACGTAATGTCTTTGTTTTATTTATTTATTTTCATGTGGTAGGCAGGCAATCTTCCACCAAGCTACAACCCCAGCCTTAATATTGTGATTTTTCTTACCTAGACATAGTTATGTTGGGTCTGGKACTGTAGGGCTAGTTTGTTTGCATTTCCCGCCCCTCTGGCTTTTTACCACTGAACTACATCCGGACCCTTTTTATTTTGATACAGAGTCTCACTAAGTTGCTCTTGAACTTGCAGTACTCCTGCCTACGCCGTCTAAATAGTTGGTATTATATGCATATGCCAGAGTACCAAGCAGGATTGGATTGAGTCAACTGATTTTAGCCAAACCCCTACCCACCCCTCCAGCAGTCTTTTGATCTTGTTGGCATTTGAGCTGGGAGGGATTTGAATTGCAACTTGAGATGTTTAGGGTTCTTAGGGTTCTAGAATCCACTTGCCTTGAGAATGTGCAAGACATCCAGTCCCCCTCCTGCCATGATTTTGGCAAAATTCAGGAGAGGGAATTTCCTAGCCAGTTTGTTTTTACAGGGGGTGTGGTTCCAGATTTCAGTCTGTCCCAACAGTTTGGTCCTGACTTAATTCCCATCTCCCTGCAAAATATCCTCCATCTAGGGCAGGCCCACATTTCCATACATTGTAACCATACCCCAGAGTCCACCCCAGAATTAAAAACTGCCAAGACAAAGCTCTCAACTTACTTTCAAAGGGCTTCTCTCTGGAGGATAGTTCATGAAGAATTTCTTGCATCCACTTGTTCTTTTGCTAAGTCTCATAGAAAGGTATTATGTTTACCTTTTCTAGAATGAGACTAAAGTGTTTAAACTCTGGTAGTAATTTATTTGCAGTAATTCAGTAAAATTACAACATAAGCAAAAAACAAACATAAAAAACCCAGTCTTTGAAGTACATATAGTGAGTTGCTTGAATGCCATTTTCAGCATTTAATGAATGTGTACCATGAGTGGCCCAATAATAGCATTTACCAAAGAACTAATTGCATGCCGGGGCAAGAATGGTACCTGTTAATGGGTAATGAAAACCTGAATCATTAAAACATCTCAGGCCAAAGCTGCACCATTTTTCTTATCAGACCTTTAGACATAAGAACAGTTGAGTCAACTGATTTTAGCATGTGCCATCACACCCACCTAGTGGGTGCCCCTTTCTAATATCCTCATTTCTTGCCTGTRAGGAAAATTATGTTGACGATCATAGCTAGAACTAAGGGGAAATAATAGAGAAAAGTGAGAAGAAAACAAACTTGTTCTTCGTAAGTAACCAAGATTCTTGCAAAGGAGTTGGAAATTTAAAGGCCTGGTAGAATCATTGATACAGGTGGATGCAGTGGCACATGCCTATAATCCCAGCCACTCAGGAAACTGAGGCAGGTGGATTGGATCACAAGTTTGAGGTTAGCCTCAACAACTTATATCCTGTCTTAAAATAACAAAGGGCCGAATATGTAGCTCAGTGGTAAGTCACCCCTGGGTACTGAGGAGGAAAAAAAGTTGATATATTTGACCAAATGATCATTGTATGCATTTCCAGGATCTTTTCACAGTATCACTATCCTGAACAATCTGGCACACTCCTTCAGCACTACTGACATCTTCATGCTCATTTTTTGTCCTATTTTGTCCTGCTAATTGACACCAGGAGCCACCAAGTCTGGGGTCAAAAAGGAAGGGACTAGAGTTTGACAGCTTCGAGTTGTCTGAAAGCTTATACCAGTTTTATTTGGAAGTGAGGATTAATAGCAAAAAAAAAAAAAAATTGCATGAAGCCTTCAGGACAATGAATCAGGGGCTCAAGAAGAAACAACAACCTGCATGCTTGAAGGCCACTGAAAGGATGGGTGGAGACAGGTAATTTTTCTTTGCACATATAAAAGTAGCAGTGCTGAAGTTAGGGGAGGTGCAGGGATTGCTGAGGGGGGAAAAATAAACAAAAATTCCTGCAACTATTTCTAAGCCTGCTGGTTTTAAACTCCTTGGGAGTACTTTTGAGGACAAGATCTGTTCCTTTGAGAAACAGGTGGCAAAGAAGATAACTTCATTGCCTCAAATGAAAGGGAAAAAATGTCAAATCCTCTTTCAGTGAAATTCTAGGCAGAGGCTCCAGAGCAACCCAGTCACTTTTGAAAAGATCAATCTGCCTGGCTGAGACCAATGTCATTTACATGTACAGCACAAGTTGGAAAACAACATGAGCACCACTAACAGTCCCAAGTTTGGTCTTGCTGTTTCTTTCCAGTCGGTCACACAGTTCTCAAGGGTTGTGTGGTCAGCCCACACCCAGTGCTACAGGCAGAAAAGACAGCCTTTGTTTTAAGAAATTTATTAAAATAAGGACAAGCATCGGTTGTACACAGAAAGAGTCATTGCACTAAATATAGAACTACAGCAAAAGAGCAATTTTAAATATATTTTTTTAAAATCACAAAATACATTTTGGTTAAGGCACTATATCCTATCTCATGTTTTAAATAAATATCCTGTTTTCTAAAAAGGCAGCATTGTGAGTATCTCTGATTAAATGAGTATAGGCACTATTGTGTTAAAAACAAACTTTGCTGTGGCCATTGTGTGTAATTTATTATCAAAAGAACTTGTATTAGCCCAGACTTTTTTTTTTAATGGACAATATGAAAAAAAAATCAGTTTTCTATTTCTAGTTTAGGTTTCTCCAATAGAAACCTATGTATAAAATATGCTGTTTTTTCATATGTTCCTTGGCATAAAATTTATGCATAGAGCACAAAAGATTATTTCTTGGAATTAAAGCCATCATAGGACATCTCAGAACAGCCTGAGTCTTTGGAAAAGTTTCAGTTCCAACTACAATAAAATTAGTGGAGTTTACAAAACTCTGGACCTTTTTTTTTATCCAAAAAGGCTGCTTTTTAAGCCCCCGCTGGTCAAAAGACTAAGAAGCTGAGGGGGCACAGACCCAGCTGTATTGTCTGGTGTAGACAGAACACCAGACAGGATCCAAATGTCCTGGGCACTCATTCAGTGCCAAGAGTACTTCCTAATGGGAATTTTTCATTTTTTGATATAATGCTCAGCAGCTCACAAGGCACATGAATGTATATCTCCTAATTTTGTTTACCTCTAAGAGAAAATGTTAGTATTTGATAATTCTGCGGTCTTTTCCAGTTCTAGTTCCTTGCTAGTCTGATGATGTGAATTACTTTTTGGTTATTTATAGCTGTTGCTGCTGCTGTCAGATAGGCCCTAACCACTCTGTAGACACAGTGACCACAACAAAGGAGAAAAATTAACTTTCTATAACATGGTCAGATTGATCCATTGGTACAAATTCCTTCATTAGAGTACTCTATATTATTATATCACAATTTATTTGTCATGGAAGGCCACTGAAACTTCTCTTATTGGAAAATATAACTTGCATGGCAGAAGTAGGTTGCATAGACTCCTAAGACTAAATTCACATTATCACACATTTTCTTTCTCCAGTCAGAGGATATTGGGCAGTAAGGCTGTGTATAGTCATGAGGTAAATGATTAGCAAGAAACTTGATGTGAGGCACATCTCATTTAGGGTGATGATTTTTTTTTTTCCAGTTGTACAGAAGGGGCTGTTAATCCAATTTATTTTGCCACTGGTACATGATATTGAGATTGTAGGTTGACAAGTTTAAGCTGAAAAATGTGCTTCACTTTTTTTGCAAGTAAACTAGACACATGGTCAAAGCTTTAGAAATCTGGGACCTACGTGCTCTGATATGGTAGAGAATACAGCTAATTTCATTCTGAAATGTATAACAACATTGCTTTCACCTGCTAATATTTAATCTTCAGTTTGACTTTGATATATAAAAATGAAGTTGGCTTTAAATTATAGGCACAGTTTTTGCCTTTTTACAAAATATTAATTTTAAAATCAGTCACTAAGAAGCAATGTGGATATAAAATATCTAATCACAAAAATAGAAAAGGTAATCAAAGAGCACTTCAGAAGGAAACCTTAGGAGCCAAGGTGCATTTAGTTGAGCTTCTCCAGGGACCTGTAATAATCTGTCAGGACTTTCCATGCTTTGGGGGCCATGAAGCCATCTGGGGGATTTTCTCCTTCTCTGGCGAGCTTCCTCATACGGGTTCCTGAGATGAAGTCGAACTCATTGTGCCTGTCACAGTAGAGCAGCAAAGAACTCAGGGTAGGTCAGTAACATCTATCCTAAAGGTTCCTGGAATTAGGTTATGGGTTTATACACCCACATTATTTTCCTTTCTGTACAATATTGCATTTTTGAAAATGATCAGTTCACTAAATCTTCAGTTCAGGAACTTGGCAGAGGAAAAAGGAAATCATGGCAACTATGTATTCAATATTTACTGTCACCTACTCTATTGTGAGAAGTGTCTTGAGGCCCAGGACTGTTTTCTATTTTTCTGCCTAGTTCTGTGGGCTCTCAGCCTGGGGAATGAGTGCATCATAAATACTCATTGAAATCTTTTTCTATGTTGCCCCCTGCCCTTAATGTCCTAAATATTTGGTGCATGCTCAAAGCAGACATGTTGAGAAAGAAAAAAAAATTATATATTGTGGTGCTGGGGATTGAATTCAAGAGAGTCTCATGCATGCTATGCCAGTGTGCTACCACTGAGCTACAACCCTGTCCTTGAAAGAAATATTTATGGACCATTTACTATGTGCATGGGACTGTGCTGCAACTTCAGGAGATAAAAAAAAATGTCCAAGACCAAGTTTTAACTCCAAAGGGACTTCATTCTAACGGGGAGCGTGTGCAAAAGCGCTGGAGAGTTTCCCAAAGGGCCAAAATTTTGCCTCATCATTCCAGTCATAAAGATTTTGACTAATTTTTCTCTGGAAACCTACCTTGTTGGATCATAGAAGTCCATGGCTTTTTTAGCCTTGTTGTAGGCAGCCACTCGGAATGGAATGATTTCCACAGAGGTGAGGCCAGGGGCCATGCTCAAGACCTTCCCCCCATGAGTGGGTTCATACAGGTCCTCCTTGGTCTCAGGGTGGGGCATTCCTGCAGGATCCCTGCCCACGATGTAGAAGTTGGCCCCTGCAATCATCCGGGCCCTGCAGTGCCACTGGACCTAGGAAACATCATATAAAGGACATGATGGTCACCACAGGCCAGGTCTATGGGTCTCTGCTTTAAAAGTAGTTCAATAATACTGGTCACCTAAAAGTTGCAAGAAAGCCAGTCCTAACTAAGACTATGTGCTCTCTTCTTCATGCTTGGTTCTATTGGGTTCAATAGGAGCTTCAAAGAAAAGAATCACATAATACCCAAAGGACTTAAAATCGGTATACYGTAGTGACATGGCCACATCAATATTCATAGCAGCTYAATTCACAATAGCTGAGCTATGGAACTGACCTAGGTATCCTTCAACAGATGAATGGAAAAAGAAAATRTATATATACACGATGGAATATTACTCATCTATAAATAAAAATGAAATTATGGAATTTGCCAGTAAATGGATGGAACTGGAGTTTATGATGCCCAATGAAATAAGCCAATCCCCCCCCGCAAAAAATCAAAGGCCAAATGTTTTGTCTGATAGGTGGATGCTGACTCACAATAGAAGGGGTCATGTAGGGAGGAGTAGAGGTTCACCACATTGGACGGTGGGAAGGAAGAGGGAATGGGAATGGGTAAGGCAGTAGAATGAATAGGACATTACTTGCCTACGTTCATATATGAATTCACAACCAATGTAACTCCACAGCGTGTACAGCCACAAGAATAGGAAGTTATATTCCAAGTCTAAATGTTAAAATACATTCTACTGTCATGTATAACTAAAARGAACAAATTTTTAAAAAGGCAAAAAACAAAAGAAAGGATCATATGAATTCCCTCCTTAGAACTCAAGGATTATTTCCTCATCYCTTCTCCAAACAGGACTAGACTATGAACACTCAGATCTTCTGACCTACAAAAACTATAAACTTTGTTATCCAGTCCTTCCTTATTTGGCTAAATCACAGTTTAAAGGAAATTACAGACTCCAACATGAGCTAATAATTACCTTTCACATGCAAACATTGATTCCAGTTCAACAGAACACTGCCCTCTCTAAAGCTCAGATAGAAATACAAAGGATGGAGATTTAAGAGAATTCATGAACTTCAGTTTGGGACGGCTCAAAGGTTGAGACTTTCATCATATTTCTTTCAGACTTCTTCAAGCATTACACTGCTGGTGCAGTAGGACAAAGAAGATCCCTGATAGGCTCACTGGGTTAGGATAAAAGGGAGACATTTACCATTTTTGTGTGTATGTGTGGTGCTGAGGATTAAACCCAGTTCCCTGTACATGCAGACAAGCACTCTACCAACTGAGCTACTCCCCAGCCTGACATTTATCTTTTAAGGACATCCTCTCCCTTCTAAGAGGCTCACTGGGCATGTTGAATCATTTATGATGATTGAATATTAGGCTACATACAACTTGCCCAATAACCCAGATTGAGCTCCATTACCTATCTGGTTCACAAGCCAGCCTCCATATTCTCAGAGGCAATATATAATAGGTTTGGCTTGATGTTTCTAGCATTTTTACAAATACAAAATGGCCACATTGTTAAACTGGACAAAGAGACCAGAATTTGCTCATGAGGAAGAGAAAAAGAATCACAGACTCATTCACTCTTCTAGATACAGTTTGAGCTTGCATCCTGATCTAATTGCCCAGCTCAGGGATTGCTCACCTCTGTGGGGCCGGCATATAACATAGGAGATGGAAAGATAGCAACAATGGTTGATTTGGGGTCCAGGACCCCTTCCTCAAGCACAGCAGCATGCTGTTTCATCCGCCAGTCCAGAGGCACATCATCATCCTTGGTCCAGCCCCCCAGAGGGTGGAGCAGGAGTACTGGGTGTTTGTAGCCCCTCTCCAGGAGCCGGCGACGGGTGTCCTGCATCAACAGAGCATGGCCATTGTGGACGGGATTGCGCAACTGGAAGGCAAACACTGCATCTGGGAGAGAAAAGCACAAAAGTCAAGGTCAAAGAAACACACTGTTTCTTGTCCATAAGAACAGACAGGAAAGAAAAGCTATGTTTATGGTTCAGTGTATTCATTACATCCACTTGCTTTTGCCTATCAGCTGGAGAATATGCCTGGCCATCAGGAGTGTTAATCAAACCCCACCAATCAATGCAAGATTGCTTAGACAATGAGAGGATGCAGACAGGAAGCCATCAAGGGAGGCTCAGGAATGAACACTTTTTTTTTTTTGAACTGGGGATTGAACCCAAAGACACTTAACCATTGAGCCACATCCTCAGCTCATTTTAATATTTTATTTAGAGACAGGGTCTGTCTGAGTTGCTTAGGGCCTCACTAACTTGCTGAGGCTGGCTTTAAATTTGCGATCCTCCTGTCTCGGCCTCCCGAGCTACTGGTATTCTAGGCATTCACTACTGTGCCTAGCTGAACACATTTTTTTGCAAGGCCTTTACTGCAACCAAGGCTCAGGAAGAATCAGTGCTCTTGCTCTAGTCCTGTTTCCCCAGGAGATGAATAATAAGGAAGAACATTTCTTGGGGCCCATGCATGGTGCAATAATCTACAGATACAAATACTACTTTAGTGCACATCTAAACACAATGACTCAGGAGGCTGAGACAGAAGGACTGAAAGTTCAAGGCCGCCTTCAGCAGCTTAGTGAGAACCTGTCTCAAAAAATAAAAAGGTCTGGAGATGTAGCTCAATGGTAGAGCACCCTTGGGTTTGGTCCCCAGTGCCACCAAAAAAAAAAAAAAAAAAAAAAAAGACTTGACCATCACTCTAAAGTAGTTTTAAAGAAAGCTTAAAACCTACTCCACACAATGATAGACTTCTGAGAGCCTTACTCTCTTTCTGGTGGTGAAATATAGTTAATATATATCTAGAATATAACAATCATTGATAATTCTATCATTACTTTTCCTTCTCTTTTTCAAAATGTATAAAGAATTATAATCTTCCCTTCTCCTTAGTCCAACTCCATCCCCAAGAGGTAGGTAGTTGCTGTTATCTGCCATTTGGTGCCATGTTACCCCAGAAACTTTTCTGCTTTTATATACACAGGTTAGGGTTTTAAAAATGATTTTTTTCTTCCAAAATATGATTGTGCTGTACATATTGTTCTGCAATTTGCTCTTTTACTTAATACATTTTAGGTATCTTTCTGTGTCTGTGCATATTTCTAACTACTGCATAGTGTTCCAGCATATGAATAGACTACAAATTTGAACTGTTTCTATATCATAGATATACCTATAGATATTTTCATTTTATTTTATTTCTGTTTATTTAATTATTTATTTTGGTACTGGGAATTGAACCCAGAGTCGCTTTACAAAAACTGGGCTACGACCCTAGCTCCTTTTATTTTTAAAAATTTTTTGGTACTGGGGATTGAATTCAGGGGCACTTAGCCACTGAGCCACATCTCCACTTTGTATTTTATATTTTATTTAGAGATAGTGTCTCTGAGTTGCTTAGCACCTCGCTTTTGCTGAGGCTGGCTTTGAATATGAGATCCTCCTGCCTCAGCCTCCTGAGCCACTGGTATCATAGGTACATGTCACTGTGCCCAGCTATTTTTTTTTTTTATTCTGAGAACAGTTCTTGCTTAGTTGTTTAGGAGATTGTTTAAATCACTGAGGCTGGCCTTAAACTTTCTATCCTCCTGCCTCAGCCTCTGGAGTAGCTGGGATTACAGATGTTTTCATTTTAAAATACTGATTCCTGATATCTTTAATTCTTTTATCAGACTATGGTAGGCAGTACTAACAAATGCACTCAAAGCAGTTTACATACCAGCATTCATTTCTTTACATTTCTGTTTGAGCTCCAGAGGTGTCAGACGGTATTGGTCCAGCCCGTCATTCCATCTTATTCTCTCCAGCACCTGAAGGTCTCCACCAACCAGCCAATCCCCACTTTCCATCACCATCTAGAAAGAACATGATTAAAGTCGTTCAGGATGAATATTGATTTCTGTGTTATTTGAACTTTTCCCTCCTTTTTGGATTAGTCTTGGGATGAAGAGCTGCCTTCAATTCTTCAGCATTCTTAGCACATTATTTATCAAACTTTTTGGTCTTTTGGCTTCCTTTGCTCTTAAAAATGAAGCCAGGTGGGTGGTGCACACCCGTAATCCCAGAGACTTCAGAAGCCAAGGCAGAGGGATCACACGTTTAAAGCCAGCCTTGGCAATTCAGCAAGACCCTCAGTTACTTAGCCAGACCCTGACTCAAAATTTAAAAATTAAAAGGTCAGGAGTCGTAGCTCGATGATAAAGTGCTCCTGGGTTCAGTCTGCAGGATGGAAAAAAAATTAGTGGGGACTGTACAAAAGCTTTTCTTTATGTGGATTATATTTAACATCATTTTCCATATTAGAAATGAAAACTGAGAAACTTTGAAAATAGTTATGAATTAATTTAAAATGAACATTAATATATCTATTACACATTAACATAAATAACATTTTTAGCCAAAAAAAAATCCTATTATTCCTCTCCCTTCCCCTAAAAAACCCCCAGGATATATAGCATTATTTTACATGTCTACAAATCTCTTTATCTCACTTAACAGAGGACTGCTGGCTTTTCATACTTACTTCTGCATTTAATCTGTGGCAATATGTTGTTTGGGCTGAAGTATATAAAGAAAACCCAGTGCTCTACCATTGAGCCACAAACCCAGCCCCTTGATAGCTTTTTTATATAATTGTAGATATTCCTTTTTGACACTACACCAAAATAGGATAAATGCTAGTTTTTTTAAAGGTAAGCTGCACTATAAGATCTGACACTTTTTCTGTGCACTTTTCATATTCCATTACATTAAAAATCCACTATGCTTTGAATGAATCTTTTACCCATGAAGGGTTGTGCAATATAACATATTGGTCAACTAGAAAATATTGATTCACTGAGTTTTTTTGTTGTTCTTTTTAGTTATACATGAAAATAGAATGTGTTTTGACATATCGGATAACTTCCCATTTTTGTGGTTGTAATAATGTGGAGTTACAATGGTTGTGTATTCATATATGAACACAGGAAAGTTCTGTCTGATTCATTCTACTGTTTTTCCCATTCCCATCCCCCATCCCTCCCCCTGACACCCTCCTTCTCATCCAATCTGGTGAACCTTTACTTCTCACCCCCACTTATTGTGAGTCAGCATCCCCATATCACAGAGAACCTTTGGCTTTCATTTTTTTTGTGGGGATTGGCTTATTTCACTTAGCATGATAATCTCCAGTTCCATCCATTTACTAGCACATGACATAATCTCATTCTTCTTTATGGCTGAGTAATATTTCCATTGTGTTTATGTACCACATTTTCTTTATCCACTCATCTGTTGAAGGACACCAGAATTCACTAAATTTTTAAGTCTTCCAATGCTGACACAGTTTATTATAGAATTTTTAAAAACACACACATTTGTTAATATTACTGCTATTCTTACCAGAAATGTTTCTAAGAACTGTGAAGCTGCCTAACTTATGGCAATGAATACACATTTTACAAAAAACCTTTTTTGCTTGAAAGATTAATCGTAAGCAACTAATACTCTTGATTGTGACAGGACTTTGTTCATTTTGAAAAGACCTGCCAAATAAGCAACTCTGAATAACTATAGTTTTTCACCTATTCTTTCAAGTAAAAATGGTGTTTCATGGCTGTAATCACCATAGCTCTGGAGGTTGAGGCAAGATTGTAAGTTCAAAACCAGCCTCAGCAACTTAGTCAGACTTTGTCTCAAAATAAAAAATAAAAAGGGAGCTGGGCAGGTGGCATGCGCCTATACTCCCAGTGGCTCAGGAAGCTGAGGCAGGAGGATCRTGGGTTCAAAGTCAGCTTCAACAAAAGTAAGTTGCTAAGCAACTCAGTGAGACCCTGTCTCTAAATATTACAAAAAATAAAAATAAAAAAATAAATATATAAATAAGGGGTGAGGATGTGGTTCAGTGGTTAAGTGCCCCTGGATTCAATTCCCAGTATTTTTTTTTTAAAAAGCTATTTCATAAAAAACAAAACCATAAACAAAAAAAGCATCTAACTTCACTTGTAGCTCAATCATACAAGTACTTTTTCCTTAAGCTAACCATTSTATGTTAGTATATGCAGTGGACAGGATGTGAGAGAGACATGAATTCAGGTCAAGATTTAATAATCATTTTTAGAGCTTCATCAAGAAYATTATTGGGGCTGGGGTTGTGGCTCAGTGGTAGAGCACTTGCCTAGCATGTGTGAGGYACTGGGTTTGATTCTCAGCACCACGTATAAACAAATAAATAAATAAAAGTCCATCAATAACTAATAAAAATTAAAGAACATTCTTAATTGAAGTTGTTTTTTTTTAATGCAAGCTCATGTTGATGGAGAGTACAATGACCATGCATCTAGTTCGCTGTCACCATTTCGAGTCTAAGGTGCTAGTTTTATGCATGGTTGCTTTTATATCAACTGTGCAACTGTCAACACAGTTACACAGTCTTAGTATCATGAGCATAATTTTATGCTTGGAGATTCTCTGGCTAGCTCATGGACAACTCCAGGGTTTGGGAACCACTTCTAGCTCCTACAGTCTGATGTATCTTGGACTATTTCTAGTAAGGACCCAAAATAGAGGCCCTGGCGGGGAAATCAGACAAGTCATTTTCTACCAGTTAATTATTGTTTAGCATAATTTCTAAGGAAACTCTCAAAAGATGAAGCTTCCTTCACATATATCCACTTTAAAATTAAATCACCAAAGAGCAGCAAAATGTAGCAAAGTCTGCATGGCAGGCTAGACATAGACTGTTCACTAAAACCCCATTTTCTCAATGATCTTCACTAAGGACATCAGGATCACTCTGGGAGAAAGGACAGTCCTTTCAACAAATGCACTGGGGAAAAGGCACACTCATACATTGATGGTGGGACTGCAAATTGGTGCAACCACTCTGGAAAGCAGTATGGAGATTCCTCAGAAAACTTGGAATGGAACCCCCCACTTTGACCCAGTTATCCCATTCCTTGATAGGCACCCAAAGGACCTAAAATCAGCATACTACAGTGAAGCAGCCACATCAATGTTATAGCAGCTCAATTCACAATTGCTAAACTATGGAACCAGCCTAGGTGTCCTTCCACAGATAAATAAATAAAATGTGATATATACACACAATGGAATATTACTCAGTCATAAAGAGAAACAAAATTATAGCATTTGCCAGTAAATGGGTGGAACTGGAGACTATCATGCTAAGTGAAATAAGCCAATACCAACAAACTAAAGGCTGAATGCTTTTTCTGATATGCCGATGCTAACTCACTATCAGATAGGGAAGAATAGAGTACTTTGGATTAGACAAAGGGGAATGAAGGGAAAGGGGGAAATGGGAACAGGAAGTAGAACAAGACAGTAGAATGAATCAGACATAACTTTCCAATGTTCATATATGAATACACAACCAGTGTAACTCCACATCACATACAACCAGAAGAATGGGAAGTTGTACTTCATATATGTATAATATGTCAAAGTGCATTCAGCTGTCATGTATAACTAAAAAGAACAGAAAAATGCATTGGGGAAACTGATTAACCATATGCAGAAGAAAGCAGTAGGACACTTATCTTACACCATAAACAGAACTTCACTCAAAATGGATTAAAGACATACATGTAATACCTAAAACTACAAAACTCTTAGGTAAAAATATAGGGAGAAACAAGGAATTCAGTAGTGATTTCTTGCATGTGGAACCAGAAAAGCACAGGCAAAAAAGCAAAAGTAGACAAACGGGATTACTTCAAATTTAAAAACTTGTGTGCATTGAAAAATGGTCAACAGCCGGGCGTGGTGGCGTACGCCTGTAATCTCAGGGACTCAGGAGACTAAGGCAGGAAGATCACAAGTTCAAAGCCAGCCTCAGCAACTTAGTGAGGCCCTGAGCAATTTAGAGAATCTTTGGTTTCTGCCTCCTGAGTGTCTGGGACTACAGGTGCGTGCCACTGCACAGGACTGAGAGGGTCTTGAAGAGATGTTGCTCAGCAACTATTCACAATGGCCAAGAGGTGGAAGCAAACCAAATGTTCACCAGTGGATGACTGGATCAATAAAATGTGGTATACACTTACAATGGAATATCATTAGCCTTCAAGAGGAAAAAAGATCCTGTTAAATGCTACAACATGGATGAACCTGGAGGACATTCTGGTGAGTGAAATAAGCCAGGAGCAAAGAGACAACCACTGAATGATTACATCTATATAAGGACAACTTGTCCATCTGAAATATTGATATAGGAGGAGGTGCAGGGAGCAAGAGAAAGCTGATTGATTTAAAAGGTTGCTGAAAGCTGCTCAGAGGCTGAATCCAGAGGATCCAAGTGTAAGGTCTATTTGGGCAACTCAGTGAGAGCCTGTCTGGGGAAAAAAAATGCAATTAAAAAAACAACACCTAGTAGGAAGGCACAAAGGTAGTAGTGGAGTGTTCCTTGAACCTTGCTGTTATGGCCAGATATTGGGGTTTACAATGACCTGCATCCCAGAGGGCTCCAGGGAATGGGATTGTGGTGAGCAAGTGGTGGTTCTCAACATTTTGCTCGTGGTGACATTTGACAGGCATTAGTGATTGCCATATTTAAACTAGGAGAAAGTATGCTATTGACATCCAGTGTGTAAAGGATAAGGATGCTCTATATATCCTGAGCTGCACGGGACAGCTGCCCACCTCCCTCCATGCACCAATAAAGAATCATCTGACCCCAAATGTCAATAGCATTGCAAATGAGAAAACTGGGGTAGAGCAAGGGTAATTGGGCAAGGTATTTGATTCTGTTTTCATGGCCCCCTTTGTAAGCCCTGTTCTCAGGCAAATTATTTAAAAGAATATTTTCAAACACCCATAACTATATATAACTTTGTCCTCATTGCTTAAAGTTATACAACCGATAAAATTTTCAAATTAAGACCCAAAATGCCTGTGGTGCAGTAGCTCATCTGGACACTAGGGGTCCTCCCTGCACTGCATTGCTCTATTGAAGACGCTGACTTCATTCACCACCCAGCCTGAAAGCCAGTCTGATGAGCAGTGTTGAAAGTGTGACATTGGCATTTCTAGGATGGGGCAAAATGACTGCAAGGACAAGGCCCTCTCTGCGGTGTTCCAACTATCCCCAGACTGGGTCCAGCTGTAGGAAGGGAGGTCCAGTGCTTGTGGCCTACAAGTTCCCACTCCCTCTCAAGCCTCCTGCCAAAGGAGGGCCACAGCCAGGGGATTTGCAAAACTGGATGCACCTAGAAGAATGAGGATTAGGCTTAGCAAGTCTGGTGGAGTGGTGAAAGAGGAATTGGGTTTGGAATCACAGGCCAGAAGAATGCATAAAGGAGGAGATAATGAGTTCAAGCACTGGAGCAAAGACTAAGAAAGCCCCGGCAAATAGAATGGGCTCCGAGAGGGCAAGAAGAGGAAGAAAGCGAGGGAGTGGGCAAACTGAAAGGAGAGGAACAACTGAGAGTGAGAAGCTGCAGAGGCCAAAATGAAAAAAAGAAGAGAGAGTAGAAAAAGAAATAGTAGGTTCAGGAAAATAAGGCCACAAATATGGTCATGATGGAAGGGGTTCAAAGAAAAGAACTGAGAAGAAAAACCAACGTGATACAAGCAGGGGATATACATTGTGTCCTGCAGTGTCTATCATAGTCATGGAATCTGGAGTTTTAAGGGACCTGGAAATCATGTGCATCTAATGTCTTCATTTTCAGGTAGGAAGGCAGTTTTGTGAAGGGAAAGTAGCACAGTTCAAGGGCACACAGCTGTCTTACCAAAGCCAGAACCCAAGACTAGGATTTTTACAAACCAGGGCTTTTCTTTCCACCACACCCACTGCCTCRAATCAGTGGCTCACTGCTTCCTGTTTCAGCCTCACCTTCAGTATTACCTGTCACAGGTGTGGGCAGGAGCATACAGAAGGCATTTATTCACGCTTATGTGTCATGTGCGTTAGGGTTGACTTTCTTAAAGGAGGGAATAAGATGAAGAGGCAGGAGTGGACAGTGTCCTACGCTGAGGGGACGAGCATGTGCAGAAGTGAGAGAGGGCATCATTTACTGACCAGCTTGGAGATGACTGGAGGAGAAGATGTGCTGAGTGGCCGTGGTGAAAGGCTAAAAGGTAAGTCCCATCTTTGCAAAGGGGTTCTCAAATAAAGCTTGAACAGTTCACTCTGGCTGAAGAATAGATTAGAGGGACAGGGAAGAAATGAAATGTCCTGGCCCAAACTGAAACAGGAGTGAATAAATTGAAGTAATACCTGGGAGGCAGAACTCTGTGGTTGAATGAGCAAGAGGAGAAGTAAGAAGCAAGAACGACACCCAGGTTTATAGATCACCATTTGGATGGTGGGGCTGTTGGTGAGATAAAGGACACATGAGGGGGAACAAATCTGGGGAGAGGATGAGCATGTTGAGTTTGGGGTGTTCTTGGATATATCCAGGTGAAGTCATAGGAAACAGCTCCAGGTAATTATCTACTGAAGTGGTTCTCAGCACATTCAAATCAGGGTGAGATTTAAAACCTCCCAGGACCAGGACTGATCCAAAGCCAATTTAATCAGAATCAGTGAAAGTGGGATCCCATCATGGGTAATTTTTAAAGCTGCCCAGGTGATGCTATTGATCGAACTGAACTTCTGGTCTTTATTGTGGAGTTAAAGGACATAATTATGACCTCTTTTTCCTGCCCTTCACTGGGAAGTCACACTTTGTTCTCTTGGTTTCTACATCTATAAAATGGAAAAAATGATTTTTTTTTCCTACTTCACAAGAGCATTGTGAGAAATAATTACTGCCTGGAAAGGCTTTGAGAGCTGTGGATGAAAGGCATCTGGGTTTCTCCAAGCGTGATTTTTACAAGTTTCACCGGCTCTTCCTCATGATTTCGTCTGGGATCATGTCACATGGTTTCACAGTGACTCAACGGAGTCCTTGAATGGACCRTCAGGAGTGTCATCAATGAGGAGCTACGAGAACAGATGGGAACAGACAGACCGTTTCCTTGGTGACATAAAGAAAATGCCATTCCCAGTGCCACATGGAAATACAAGTCTCATGATTACTTTTGGGAGTAACAACTTTTGGAGGTTTAGGGTTCTAAAAAAAAGAAATTATGCTAAAGTATGACTGAGTTCCAGGCAGCTAAAAAAAAGCACAGTGAAGAGCGTTTTTCCCAATAAAACCAGTGTTTGTGTTTTCCAATAAAATTCTTGTGTGTCCGGTAAATGCAACAACCCAAGGGTAGTGTATACCGGGTGAGTGGCTTTCTTTCTCTGGTTATTCATGGCCCATTTCTCCCCATTAGCTCACTGAGAATGTTTACAGAGTCTCTAACAATCTAATGGTACAGAGTCACTGACAATATGGTCAAAGTCACGACAGCACTCCTTGGCTTCTAATTCTTACTCCCACTGCTGACATACATCAGCAAGACAAGATGAAAGACATAATCACTTAAGATCACCCAAGAGCTTCCTGAGGGTTTGTTTTTGTTTTTTTTAATAAGTGCCAGTCATGTGGATGTGGATGTTAGACCTAAAGAATAGAAATATCTGATCTGCCATAATGAAAAGCCGTTATTCTTTGGGTCACTGGGCAAAGATAAGATCCCAAACCCATATGATTAGGATCAGGAAAGAAATGACCAGAAATATAATTGAAGCCTAGAACAAAATGTTCCTCAAACAGCTCTAAGTCAGTATTCAGAGATTACAAGAACTGCGGGCAGCTTCTTTGAGAAAAACCGTGTAAATGTATTTGATCTAGATATGCATTAAGGTTGAAGACTCTTATTGTTTTTTCCTCCCCTAATGCTGGGGATTGAACCCAAAGATGCTCTACCACTGAGCTACGTTCTCAGCCCTTTTAGCCTTTATTGTCATCATCATCATTATTTTGAGACAGGTTCTCGCTAAATTGCCCTAGCTGGCCTTGAACTTGCAATCCTCCTGCCTCAGTCTCCTGGGTTACTGGGATTACAGGCATGAGCCATCGCACCTGGCTAATAATGCTGATCTAGAGGGTGGCTAGCTATATCCAGTGACTGAAGAGGCTGCTTTGCTTGCCCGGTGCCCTCTTTCATTCGGATTAAGAAATTCCCTGGAGCCACTCTTGGGACAGGACCAAAAGGGCAATAGTTCAGTTCCCTTGCTGAGGCTTTTGGCAGGCTGTTATGTTTTATATTATGTTTTTAGTATGTAGCCAAGGCCAGCCATAAATTGGCTATGTTATGGTTAAGGTGTAGTCAAGGTCAGAAACATTCTCTCTCTCTCTCTCTCTCTCTCTCTCTCTCTCTCTCTCTATATATATATATATATATATATATATATATATAGTTGGACATGATACCTTTATTTCACTTATTTATTTTTATGTGGTGATGAGGATCGAACTCGGGGTCTTGCACATACGAGGTGAGTGCTCTACCACTGAGCGACAAACCCTGCCCAAGGTCAGAAACATTCTGATTCAGTGTACCTGCTCAAGGTTGTAAACATTTGCTTGTGAGCATGCCCATTGATGTAACCTGTTGGCACTGTGCCTTCTTTGTTTGGACTGTATATAAAAAGGGAGGTAAGTAGAACTGGCTGGGGGCTGAAGCTGGAGGCTAGAGGCTGAATCCACCTCTGAATAAAGCAATGTTAACTATCCTAATCGCATTCTGCCTCTCATTCCACCTGCTGGGATCCCAAATCTGTTTCCTGGGTCTGAGCCCTGGCATAACATCTCCCAACAGGGACCTTGAAAATGTCCTTTCTGTCCTGGAGCATTTCACAACTGAGAACAACAGCAGCATAATTTTCTCTGGGGTCAAGGGACTGGAAGAGACCTTAGAGTTATTTTGCCTGGCCCTTTCTTTTGTCAGTGAAGAAACAGGTCCAGAAAGATAGCATACCTTGTCCACCAGGAGGCTTCTTAGAGCCTCTGGGCCTTGAACTGCTCTTGGTGAAACTTGGGAACTTGCTGAAAGTTATTCCAGTCGGGGAATCTGAGAAGTCAAATTAGTAGTCTTTCTCTCTCTTCATTTTCCATCCTAATGTGTTTATCTTGGATGAGAAATGGTTTCTGAATCCAATTTCACATATTTTTATTTATGGGAAATGGAGATCCCATAATGCCCTCTTACTCTCACCCCCACCCACAACAGCAATTAGAAGTTGTGAATGAACCCAAGGAGGTTCATTTATGATAAATGATCCTACTCAGAGGAACACATTTCTCAATCTTGAACATCTACACTGATGAAAATGTATTATCCTTCCTCTGGGAGCTCGGCCACTAACTATGCTGATTGGTGTTTACTGAAAAGGTTCTTTGACCCCCTCACTGGCCACAGAGCATGAACTCTGAGTTCATTTTCCAGAGGTTGACTGGGTTTGTTCTGTGTGAAGATATTTTCCTTGATCTTTTTTTAAAGATGAACAGGGCTAGCAGTGAGTTTGTGCATAGCTACACAAATTTAGTCTGGTATCATGATTTCCACTCATGACACCAGACTAATTTATCTACACACTCCCATTTAGCTAAGGATGTGACCATTAGAGGATCTGAGGTCTCCAGGATCTCAAACAGAAAGGCATTTCTGTATCCTCCTTTAAAAAATATCTCCCAAAGCCAAGCTTGCAAAACCCATCTTAGAAAAACATTCTTCTGTTGGACCTCTGTTTTTGAAATCCTCCATGAAGGAATTAAAAAGAATGATTTCTGTTCTTGGTTGAAATAGATCAGGAAAGCCCTTCCCAAGATCTCACAACTTACTTTGATATGGGGATGTTTTGAACATGTGGTCCCCCACACGCGGGAACAGCGCTCCTCTTTCCTATGCTTGTAGAACTCAGGGTCATGCATGATAGCCAATCTTTGTCCGCCATGTGTCAGGACAAACTTGCTGCACCCTTCCAGCCGAGTCTTATCATCCATAGAGACGGGCAGCACGATGGGAATGCTCATGTTGATCACTCCATCTGTGGAAAGACCGTGTGATGCGTGAACACTGGAAGTAAGGTGTGCCCTCCCTTAAGGATTTGAATGTTTTAAAACCCAAATCCAACATGGTTATGTCAGCTGTGTGGGGTTTTGTTTTTGTTTTTGGAACGAGGGATTGAACTCAGGGGAACTCAGCCACGGAGCCTCATCCCCAGCCCTATTTTGTATTTTATTTAGAGACGGGGTCAAACTGAGTTGCTTAGTGCCTCGCTATGGCTGAGGCTGGCTTTGAACTCATGATCCTCCTGCCTCAGCCTCCCAAGCCACTGGGATTACAGGTGTGCGCCACCGCACCCAGCTGCTTGTGGGTTTTTCTAGAATTATTGATGAGAAGTCCTGAAGGGCTTCCCAGAGCAGGAGATGGGCAGTGGGTGAAAAGTGGGCTGAGTGGCCCACAAAGGTGGCCTAACCTTGGGTATGGGAAGGCCATGTATCTCTTTTGGGGTTCTGCTTTTGTTTGTTTGGTACTGGCGATTGAACCTAGGGATGCTTTAAAACTAAGCCACATCCCTTGTTTATTTTTTATTTTGAGACAGGGTCTTGCTAAGTTCCTGATAGACGCTCACTGAGTTGCTGAGGCTGGCCTTGAATTTATGATCCTCCTGCCTCGGTTTCCTGAATAGATGAGATTACAGGTGTGCATTATCACACTCGGCCTGGGTTCCATTTTTAAAGCTTTGTCCTGATCCCAGGGCACGAGGAAGTTTAAAGTCTTTAAAAACCCAATTAAACAAAATAAAGTTTGATGGAACAAATTAACACTCTCTAGTTTTTCTTGGAAACCAACTTTGTAACAGCACTGGGCATGGCCAACCCACTGAATTGAAAAGATAGGAAAAATCAAGACAACCCACAGTCCCTGGGACCCCAAATACGTAGTCCTTCTGATGCTCACTGTGGTGCAGGCACAGCAGCACCTTTCAATATTTTTACTGGTAATCTGACGTTTCTGGGAGCCATGAGTCTGGCAAGCTTAACTGTAATCGAGAACCATCAGCCAAAAAATAGGAGGATTAAGAAATGACAGGAGGCCATTACTGAAGCTCCTGCACTTTCTTTGGAAAGTGAGTCCCTCTCACCTTTATGCTAAGTCTCTAAGAGGAATGTAAGTAAACTGCATGTTCCGACTGCTCAGTCTATAACACAATGAATCAGAAGGTATAGAATGCATGGTTCAGAGAAGCTGAACATAGCATGTCAACATCTTGACCATAAAGGAAGAGGCAGGAAGACTCTTGATGACAGAGAAACGGGGTGGCTGATTTTATATGGACTCTTGAGTCTGCTCTCCACGGCGAGGCCATCGTACCCAGATATTTGGTCAAATGTTATTTTGATGTTTCTTTGAAGATAATTTTAGATGGGATTAACATTTAAAATCAGTAGACTCTAAGGAGCTCATCCTTCATAATGTGGCTAGGCCTCCTCCAATCAGTCGAAGGCCTGAAAAGGAGAAGACTGATCTCCCCAGAAGAAGAGGGAATTCGGGCAGCAGGGTGCCTTTAGATTTCGACCACATCTCTGGGTCTCCAGCCTGCTGGCCTACCCTACAGATTTTAAACTTGCCTCCAATCGCACGAGCCAATTTTTTAGGGTAAATCCTTTCTCCCTCACCCTGCCCCCTTCACATATATGTATATGTGTGTCTGTGTGTGTATGTATACACACACACACATGCAAATATGCATCCTGTCGATTATGTTTTTTGTATTAGAACACTAACACAGAAACTAAAAATACAAAAACACCAATAATCCCACAAGTGTCTCAGGCATCATGACATGAAAACCCAGCTTAATAACTAGTAGGACTCCTGAAAACAGAGTTATATCGAAAAGTTTGCTTATGTTAAACTTGTGTGTGTGTGTGTGTGTGTGTGTGTGTGTGTGTGTGTGTGGTACTGGGGATTAAACTCAGGGTCTCACACATGCTAGGCAAGTGCTCTATCACTGAGTTTTGCGCACCCCTCCCGTCCCCCAATGAATTTTTTTTTTTTTAGTGAATAAGGGGGTTATTTTTTWAAAAAATAAGAATATTTTGAAGTGTCTCTAGATAAAATAGTTAAAATATGTAATTGTTTTTCAGTTGGAAGCTTAAAAGAGTAGAAATTGGCTCTCATGTTTGAACAATGTCAATGTAAAAAAATAAATAGGAAACCGTGCCCCCCAATACTTTTTGTAACAATGCTCTAACATTCTAATAAACACATCTGCCTCTCAATTGTACTTACAGGTGAAATTGTACTTACTGGTTAGGTGTGTAACACAAAAGAAATATCAGGGAAACAGATTCCAAAGAGAATCAAAGGAAGATGAATAAAGAAGACATTCAATTCCAGAGTAAATACGAGCAGCTCTTCATGGATTTGAGAAAATATGTCATAAACTAATGAAATCATTTAAATCTAACTTTCAAATTCAACATTTAGAATGCCTCTGACAGAGTTAAATATTTGAATTCTATTGTTTGGGGGCATGAGACTCCACCTTAGCAGCTATAAAACCAAATTTTCCAGGCATATCACTTTGCACCTTTTAAACACTCTCTAAAATTAGGACCTAAGAATATCACAGAATACAGACAGCAGCTACCAACCACAAAGAAACCCAGACTATCATAAAAATTCTGCAACATACATTAGGACCCTTAATAAGACACAAATTAGATATGTGCCTTACAAAAGTTAAGGCTTTTGTCATTCAAACAACTCTTCGTTTCCAAGGTCAAGGACACTTAGAGCAGCCAACCCCTTTGCAGAAAACACTAAAGTCTAAGTGAGGAGTTTCCCACTTACAAAGTGTGTGTCATTCAATTTCTCTAAACTCAGTTTCCTCACTTAAAAAAAAAAAAGAGGGGAATAGTAAAAAGATGTATTTCTCTGATTTGATGTGAGTGGGCATACTGTTTAGCACTAAATTAATGGTGGTTCATGATGAAAGATAATTAAATATACCATAGTTCAAGTGAGGAAAAGAAAGAGAGGGAAATTAAGAATACCACTTTCAAGGATGCTGATATTCTAATTAGAAATTGTGCTTATGCCAGACATGGTGGCTCCATGGTATAATCCCAGGGAGGCCGAGACAGAAGGATAGAAAATTCAAGGTCAGAATTGGCAATATTTTGAGACCCTCAACAATTTAGCAAGACCCTGTCTCAAAATAAAAAAAATAAAAATAAAAAAGATGGGGATGTAGCCGAGTCATAACTAAAGCACCCCTGAGTTCAATATTTGGTACCAAAAAAAAAAAAAAATCATGCTTTCTGTGGATTGCTTACTAGCCATACTTGCTAAACGAAGGACCATGATATTTGACTCTGCTTCTAAGAATGGCTTGACCAGAATAAAGCAAAATGCAAAGCCAAAAGTAGGACATCACGCTGGAGGAAGCCTCGTCCTGCCAGCAACATGCCTGCAACTTTGTCTTGCATCAAATGTTCTGGGTGGAAATCCAAGGGATGCTTCACCTCCCGTTGCAATTTTCTCCTCTGGTCCACCAGGTTCCTGCCCAAAGTAGCCTCTATTCCCCCTGGAGTAGGCATCCATAGTGACTAAGCAGAACGCCCCTACTGTGGTCCAGGTCGAGGAGTGCATCTGTAGGATGCTATGGAAAGGAGTCCTACTGATCCCACACCTGTGGCTGCAACTGCATTTGAGAATAAACAGATTTACTGTGGGTTCCTTATTATCTTTCTCAACTTTTCTAATACATAATCTTAACTGTGCTGAACATCCTCCATGGCTTTAAACATTGATTCAGGCTTTCTGCCTTTCCTTTCATGTGATTCCAGTTCTGGTGGGAACTACCTTGGGTTTATGTAGCACATCCCATTATGGAAGAGTACTGWTTTTGTTTTGTTTTTAACGAATGTAAATCCAACAGATAACTTCCTGTTCAACTGAATGATTTTTTTTTTTTGCTTTAAAAATATTTTTCTGTTTCAGTCTTGGAGATCTGCTTATGGGTTGTATAGATTTTCTGTGTAAACACCGAGTTAATCTTTGTTATATAACTAGGGATTTTTTTTAAAGGAAGGATAACAATGATGAAAATAATATCAGAGATAAATGATACCTTTGGAATTTTACCTTTTCATTCTGGTGCAATTCAGAAATTTACATTCAYAGCAAATGTATATTTATTCCCATTTCTATAACTATCAATTATGATAGCTTGAAATTAAATTCATGCATAATCACACATCACAAATAAAGTACAACCATACACAATCCAACCAGGTGCATCCTCTTTAAGTTGCATCTAAAAAGGATTTTTATCCTTCATTAATTAAAATGTTTTGTAAACATGGTAGAATTTCCAAATTTGTGGAGCTAAAAGGGAACCAAGAGTCATTGGGAAAGAATTATAAATTTAAAAGTACTCATGAACAAAATATGCAACAATAATTTAGAAACAAGTTTACTTTCATCAGCTAAACACAACATTATAAACAATAGTTGCACCTAATCCAGAAATTTCCTGTTACTTGGACTCCAATTAGCAGAATATAATGTACTATTATTCTACTATAACTGGTTGGATCATGAATTGATAACGATTCCAACTGGTTAATTAATAATTTTTTTAGTCATGTCTTCAAACATTTTKAATTAATGCAACATATCTAATTATAATAATTTAACTACTTGGAAAGTTAAAGTACATACCATAAAGGACCATGCCTAGAGAAATACAAACACAAGAAATACGTTTTTAGCTCTCCACCAAAATAATCTTAAAGCAACAATGTCAAGGAACCAATTCCTGTTATGACACTTCACATTTATAACATACAAATATACTGAACTCTTCCATTATGCTATGTTTAAAAACAAAGAATATACAACACCAAAATGTTGATAAAACTCAGAATTTGTATGGAATACTGTTCAATACATTCCAAAAACATTGTTAGGATGATTACCTGTTTTTTAAAAAAACAGATTATTTTATAATTATAATATGTTAATAACCCTTCCGACTTCAGCAAGAAGTTATCTCTTGTAAACATGTGATATTACAACCACTGTCAAATGATTTCCAAACCAGGCTCTGGGAGAAGGTGTAGAAACCAACTGCCCCAGGATTTCTGGAATCCCAGGTAATTAGAGGACATGAAAACATGCCCAGGAAAATAAGCACAAGCGTCAGAGCCTGGATAAGCTGGATTTGAATACAAGCTTCAAGTAAGTTGTTTAACTTTTCCAACTTTCTTCCTTCTGTGGATAAAATATCTTCACAGTGGTGTTATCCAGACTAAATGTGATAGCCTACATCAAAGTCCAGAGTCACTGGTGCTTAGTAAGGGCTGGTGGTGTGTGTGGCACCTGGTGTCCTGCCTTGGAAAGCCAGCTGCAGGAGAATTGCCATTAAGTGATGGTGTCTCATAAGGCTGTCATGTCTTGATCCCATTTGGAAGTCATCAATGTAAACTTGATGCTCCATATTTAAATGTAAATGGGACATGATAGGATGGTCTGTGACAACCCTGGAACTATATTTCCAGTAAGAGATCAAGTGACACAATACATTCATCTGGAAGTGGGTCCTCCTCATACTATACAACTACCCAAAACACTGACAAATAATTCCTTTTGGGCTTTTGTTTTGCAGCTGTTTGATGATAGATGCAATTGAAAATGTGTCTGTGGCTACATAAAATATTTCAAATTTTCAGTGGCATTGAATCAAACCTTTATGAATGGGTTAAAATTAAATCATATTGGAGCTGGGGTTGTGACTCAGTGGTAGAGTGCTCGACTAGCACCTGGGAGGCACTGAGTTTAATACTCAGCACCAAATAAAAAATAAATACAATAAAGATATTGTGTCTATCTACAATCAAAAGAATTTTTAAATGGTTCGATCTTCATATAGCTGAATTTGTCCATTTAAAAAATTAAATTATATCGATATGAATGATATCTTGCCCCATCTTATGATATATAAAGAAATCTCTTTTGAGAGTTTAATTCTGTGTCCCCAGTCCTGACGCCAGCCATCAAGCCAGGCACTGCCAGGAAATTGCTGTGGTATGGAAAATGTGGAAAGTTCCATGGTTATGAAAGCAGTTTCCACCGGCTTCCTCCAGATGCCCACCAGCCTGCTGCCTAGGAGGAAGGCCAAGCTCCCAGCCCCTCCTAGAGAAGACATTCCACTTCGTCTGTGGTATAGATTACATCAGGTTTCCCTGAAATAAAGAATTCTATGGTCTCAAAAGAACCACTGCTGTGGTGGGAGAACCTGATGCTCTCAGACACAGAGGAGAAGCCTGTCTGTCTGTCCAGTAAGTGAACGTCTGCCTTCACAGCCACTCTGTCCTCAGGTGCCAGGTTAACCGTGGCTCTCAATCAGTATTTGTTGCTAACTGATGAGATGATCTGTGCTAATTCAAACAGATGTGACTGCAGAAACCACTTAGTGTCTTCAACCCTCCAAGTTCTTTTAACTGTATGCAGTAGGGTTTTGTTCATGATGATAGCTAATAGGTGTGAAACATTGACGATTGAACTGGGCACTCTTTTAAACTTTCAATATTCCAATAAAGTCAGTGTGTAACTAATATTCCCAAAGATGAGGCAACTAAATGCAGAGAGTGTTGTAAGTAATTTTGGCCCAGGTTCATAGTTCATCACTGACGTACAAACCTAGCTCCCAGTTTGGCTTCACAGCTCATCCACTATGATATTCTACCTCTGCTTAGGCTAAAACTAAACTGAGATACAGAAAGTGGCAGAGACAGGCAGGAAATCATATCCTGTTATACTTTTTTAAAAATTGATTGACATAAGAATGGAGGAGGTTTCTGGGGGGTATGCAGAACTTGACTGTAATTGGGGTTGCACAGGTGTGCCCAATGGACTCTGGTTGCAGAGGCAGATGGTGCAGCCAGCAGAAAATTTCCATAAGGAAACAAGGAGTCTTCCAGAAAGCCCCAGAAACGGGGCTGGAAGGGTGGAAGGGGGTAGGGGTCATGGAAACAGCATGACATATGCACCTGAACCCCTTGTGACATATCCCCACTGGAGACACAGGATAAAGGGATTCATACAGATTCCAAGGCATTTAGTGAGRCTCAAGCAACTTCCTAGAGAGTGCTCAATTGAGGTTAAAACAGAGGAAGGGAATATTCTTCTTCCCACTTGAGAAACAGCCCCACCAGTTACCAAACTTAAGTGRTCTGGGCAGGATTTATACCACTGTGGACACAGATGGCCACACGTATCCACACAGCAAGCATGGATACATGTATCCATGGGCCTGAGGCAGAAGCACAAGAAACACACTTCCTATGAACCCTTGGGCTTAGGCTTTGAAAAGAAGTGGAATTTTGTGGGAGACTTGAAACCATCGGAGCTCAAGTAGCAATGGGAATATGAGCTCACTGGCATCCCCATGGTGGTGGGTTTAAGAGCCAGACATTACATGGATTATCTGAGAAGTAGGAACAATAAGTGCTTCATTCACCTCATAGTAGTCAGGACCAAATAAGGATTAGAAAATCAATGTGTTTTGCTCATGAAATGAAATGGAAATGGTATGAGAGAGAAGGAAAGAGAATTTGCCTAAATTACCAGATGAATTACCTGCATTAGTTATTTTTCATCTTTTTTTGGGTCATAGACTCTTTTTTTCCCCCTGTGGTGCTGGAGATTGAACCCAGGGCCTTGTGCATGTGAGGCAAGCACTCTACCAACTGAGCTCTATCCCCAGCCCAGGTCAGAGACTCTGAAGAATTCAGCAGACACTATAAACTCTGAGCTCAGGAAAATGACCTCTCCTCCCCTTCTCAGAACAAGCTACTTCTGCCCACTCTGGGATTTCTGTCCCCCACTGAAGACCTAGATCCTAGGCTAAGGAACCTGGGCTGCCATTAACATTGACCACTGCAACCCTGTCTGCCACACTGGCATTTTTCTGTATGGAACAAATACTTGTCAAAGGCACCATCTTTTGATGTGATTCACTTGTCTTTTTTTATTAATTAAAAAATTTATTAATTAAAAAATTGTTCTAAATGACAGTAGAATGCATTTTGACACATCAGACATAAATGGAGTATAACTTCTCATTCTTCTACTTGTCTTTTGGCCACAGCTCCAGTTTRGATGCTCATAGTCAACCTCTTATTCATGGGTGGCTGCAGAGTTCAGGGACATTTTCTTGAAGCAGCCTGTGTCTGGCATGTGTTGAAACTGAGACATCAATGTAAACATCAGCCTTCCTCCTACAGAAATCCTGACCTTCTAGATGCTCTTGGAAAGGACAACAGGAGAGCAGCCCGGTGTGGAAGGATCACCTGTTTTCCAGGGCTTTTGTAAGGATCAAATGAAATAATGCCTGGGAAAATKCTTTAAAAATTGAGAAATGTTATACAGATTACATTATTACCACTGTCAAGACAAGCTAGAAGTAAAGAAAGTGTTTTTTTTTTTTTTTTAAATCTGATAAATAAAGGCCTCAGGTTGTGAGGCATGAACAGCAGAAGAATAAGGGAAGAGGGCCCATTCTATCTGTCTTTAAGTTCTGATTCTAGCTTTATACCCCATTACCCAGGCAGAATCAGAAAGACGTTTAGCACTTGAACATTTCAAAGAAAGAACATCCGATTTTCCCTTTCTTCCYGAAAGGCCTGGAGCTCTGCTCAGTGTGACTCTACCACTACTCCTTCTCCATTTCTTAGCTATTTCCCCAGGACTTGAAATAATGTTACATTTGATAAGCTCAAGCAGCTSTAGGAAGGAAATGATCACACAAGGGTCAGGAATTCTTCTGAATAACACATGCTTCCGACCTTAGATCAGTCTTTTTGTTTTTGTAGTTGGACAGAATGCCTTTATTTTATTAACTTATTTTTATGTGGTGCTGAAGATCAAACCCAGTGCCTCACACATGCAAGGCAAGTGCTCTGCCACTGAGCTACAGCCCCAGCCCCTTGGAGAACTTTTTAAAAAAATCCATTAGCCTATGCCCAGAAAGCTACCTTGAGTCAGTCCAGCTGGAGTTTAGAGGACAAAAACCGCCTAATGTATTTCATGTGTGGACAAACACTGACACTCTAGCATTCATCAAGGAGAGCAGCTGCTGCAACTCTGCATGACAGGAGCAACTTGGAGGATGGGAAGTGCCCCGTGAGTCAGTCAGTCACCTCTGTGGAGCCGGCCTTGGCTGCCCCAGGATGCAGCCATCAGTGGTGAGCTAGACTGCAACAGTGCTTCTGAATATCAGGACCAGCAAAGAACAGGTGGAGATGAAACAGACTTAACCTTCTTTTGCATTTGTGTGCAAGTAAAATCTTCATTTTTTCAGTTCCTTAATTTTAGATAATAATCTTTTGAAAATGATAAAAAAAATTCCTACAAATGGAAGTTTACACATAATAAAATTGGGAACACTGTAAAAGATCTATTTTTCTCAAAGACATTTACAAACCAAAGATGAATAGTTCCCGTTCCTGTGCAAGCTGCTGGCAGAAATTTTTTCTTTAGTAATAAAGAGTAAGAAACAACAACAAAAGTCATACCATCTAGCAGGGTGTCAAAGTGTATGGTTTGCAAGTATTCCTTCTCCCGCATAAAACCTTTGAGGGGAGTGGCCCAGCCTTCACTCAACACCTGGACCCACTGGAGATCCAGCTGCAAAACACAAACAGCAGGTGAATATTTCCATAAATTCTGTTTCTTTGGCATCTGGTCCCAGGCAGTTCTTTCTTATTTAGTTGACTGGAGGATGAGGGCTAAATCTTTTGTTAAGTGTTTCCACATATCGGGCTAACCTGTGATCTCAGGGTCAGATAGGCTTACGTCTAGAATTTTCTTATGGAAGAGCCGTAAAAAGATTCCAAATTGAGATGATTTTTTTTTTTTTGGACACTCCAGCCTATAACTTTCATTGTAATATGCAACAGCTGAAATTTCAGTCTTCATTCATTTATTCTCCACAAAAATCCTGGTTTGGCTGAATTTTTTTTGTTGTTGTTGTTTTTTTGTTTTTACCACATGTACTTATTGGTCATTTGATTGAATTGAGCAAACTATTGAGTCTAAGATAAAGTCCAAAGTTACTAGCATGATAATGAAAGCCCTTCTGGCCCCTAGGACTCACGGAGGGACTTCTGCCTCCTTCCACTCCAGCTGGGGACTCCTGGTCAACAATTCCAGACAACGTGTACGTGGTCTAAACACAGAAGTGGTTTCAAGCCTGGGTTTTACCCATCCTCCTCTCCACTTTCAACTCCTATTCATCCTTTAAAACCCAGCCCATGGGTCATGGCTCTAAAACCTTTCCTATCTTCCCCATGACTGAAAGAATCAATCTGAAGTTGAAGTTCTCTGCCTCCCAGATTGCTCTGTTTGGAACTATCATTCCACATCCCAGTTGTCATCATCTGTTTTCTCACCTGCTTGGTGCTCCTGGTGCTCAGGATCTGTCTCACAGAGCTGGGGTTTTATTTATAAATGGGTCATGACTTTTTAGAATACTCTAAAAAGTCTTCATGGGCACAAGCAAGTTCCCCATTCACCTTGTCCCTTATGAACCTCCAAAGTTTTAATAGGTAATCAATAGGTCCCCATGAAGACTTGATCACCTTGTGTGGACAAACTAAAACTGACCACACACAGGCCCTGTGTGGGGCAGTTGCTGGGACTGCACCACATATCCCCCAGGTAGTAAAATCCTCCCCTCCGGCTACAATGTCCCCAATGAAGGAGCAGCAGAGTAGAAAAGCCTGGAACATTCCCATCACTGGATATCAGGGCTACTTTCCTTTTTCTTCAAACTCCTTCTCGGTTGTCCATAAAGCACTTGCTTTCCAGACTGTCTCCTTAGCCACTGCTAACAAGTAGTTATGGGGATGCCTGCACTTGAAAATGACTGAAGGTAAACCACAGCTGTGTAAAACTGTCCCAGGCAAATAGAGCTGACACTTTCCCAGCCTGTCCCCCTACATAGCTGCCCCCCGCCTTGTGGCAAGTCTTGGGGAAAGATTTGCTCAGAGAAGAGGTGGGAAAAAAATGACAAAAATGAAGTGTCCCTTACTCATACTTTCCTTTTTAACAAGAGTAACTGTAAATGAATTATAATGACAGATATTAAGCCTGATTCTCCTTTGGCCAGTCTGTACCCCTTACCTTGGTGATTGATAACGAAGGGAGATTCTCAGCCTCAGCCCGGACCTGATCGAGTTTGTTTTCTGGCACAAAGAGTTCATGGATGCCTCTGATTGTGGCATGGGGTACAATGTTCTGAAATGAAATGGAATCAGCAACAATTTCCAATGAAAACTACAGAAAAGAATGCTTTAGGAAAGAGGCCTAGATTGTCTTTCATGACTTAACTAAATTAAAAAAAAAAAAAAAGAAAGAGAGAACCATGTGCCCACCTGTTCTTGTAGAAGTTCCACCACCTGGTGGACACAGTCGCTCACTGAAGACAAATTGGTTTTAAGCACACACTCAGGAGTTTCGGGCTTCTCATAATCAGAATCGATACCTGTAAATCCTGCAAGACATACAGGGGAAATCACATCTGTCCCAATGGAATAATTATTTTTTAATCATTAAGGCATAACCCATGTTGGAATAATATGTTAAACTGAGAGTTTTGATATAACAGAAAAGGTCAAACTACCATCCTTGACCTCTTGCCATAGGTAAGAAAATATACAGCTGTGTTTTCAATATGGAAAGCCCCAAATTATGAATAATATCTAGCAAAGTCCAAGCCATCTACAGGTAATTAGAATTGTTATTTTTCCTTTTCTTTTCTTTTTTTTTTTAGTACTGGATATTGAACCCCAAGATTGCACAACTATTGAGCCACATCCTAAGTCCTTTTTAATTTGTATTTTGAGGCAGTGTGTTGCAAATTTGCTGAGGCTAGCCTTCAACTGGTAACACTTCTGCCTCCTGAGTCATTGGATAATAGGCAGGTATCACCACACTGGGCTAGAATTGAAAACAGAAAAAGAAGGGAAAACTCTGAAATACACCCCTTACATATGTATATCCATTTTATTTCTCTGAACTTGATTGCTTTCACAATTAGATGAGAGTTCTTGAAAGATAAAATTCCACATTTTAATAAACCTATGGACATATTCATATATTATGATTTGATAAAAAGTTGTGTATGGTATATGAAATTTTGGAAAACAGTTTGAAACTTCAGACAGATTCCTGAGGATGTAATCAGAGGATTGATAGGCTAAATAATTGGCAATGGAGCTTCTGGCTGGTTCTCATACTTTTTATTTTTTTTTAATTTTTTGGTACTAGAGATTGAATCCAGGGGTACTTAATCACCCCCAGCCCTTTTAATTTTGAGACAGGGTCCTTCTAAGTTGCTTAGGGCCTCACTAAGTTGCTGAGACTGGCTTTGAACTTTAGATCCTCCTGCCTCAGCCTCCTGACTGGGATTACAGGGATTACATGTGTGCACCATCGCACCCAGCTGGGTCTCATACCTTTAATCTCCCCAGCTCGAGCCCGTTTGTAGAGGCCTTTTACATCTCTGCTTTCACAAATATTTAGAGGTGCATCTACAAATATCTCAAAGAATGGCAGTCCTGCTGATTCGTGGATTTTACGGGCATTCTCACGATCCTGAAAAACAGAACATTTAAGAATGGAAAAAGAGGTTTGTTATGGTTTGTACACGTGCCCCAAATTTTATGTTGGAAACTGAATCCCTAGATTCATATATTGATGATATTTGGATGGGGAGCCTTTAGGAGTAAGCTCTTGAGATAAGATCATCAGGAAAGAGCCCCCACAATGGGACTACATGACACACATGTTCTGTCTCACCGCCATGTAGTAGCCCTCCACTATGTTATGATGCAGCCAGAAAGCCCTAACCAGATGCTGAGCAGATGCTGGTGCCATGTTCTAGACTTTCTTAGCCTCCTAAATTATGAGCCAAACAAACATCTACCCTTTATAAAATAATCGAATCTGCAGTATTTTGTTACAACAGAAAATGAATTAAGACAAAATTTCACAATGAAATTCTTTGTCACAAAACAAAATGAATGCTCTGGCATTTGGTAGCCTTGAGATAACACCAGGCTACGGAGTCCTTTAGAGAGTCCGGAAATGTCACTCTGGTAAACACAGCTCTCTCAAGAAATTTCAGAGCAAAACAGCCCCTCTTAGCAAGAAGGCACTGGCAACATGAGCATATTCCATCCAAAGGATGTACTCAAAACACATAGCACATTATCCATCGCTCCTAGGAATTTCTAGTTTTAAAACATGAAGAGTGACACTCCACCTCAGCCATGTGCACATCAAACACACACAATCTGAAGCTTTGTAGTGAACTGTTCTTTTCTTTAGCAAGCTAAACATTCTTTTCCAACAACTGAAATTACAGAGTCTTAAGAGTTCTGCTTGTTTAACTTTCTCTTCCTGTCAACTCTGACCAATGTCCTTTATAATTGTGAACATGAGAGAGTCTAGGTCAACTGGGGCCTTGGTATCTGGAAATGAAGGAACTCTCTTTATGTAAGCAATTGTAAATAGAGGAAATGAGGGAGCATGGGGGGAGAGGAAGAAATGGTGGGTAAGTTGAAAATAAAATATTCGGCTCTCCCTTTCGCTCCACCAAACTCCTGTCCTCAGCAGCTGGAGAGCACTCAGACTGGGTGTGAGAGTTGTGCCCAGACCTGAATCTTTTTACCTTTGCAAATGGAGAGATGAAGCTGGTAATGCAAACCAGACCAGCATCCGCAAACAGCTTAGCCACCTCAGCAATCCGGCGGATGTTTTCTTCTCGGTCCCCAGGCGAGAAGCCCAGGTTCTTGTTAAGGCCATGACGGACATTGTCCCCATCCAGGGAATAGCATGGGATGGCATGGGAGACGAGGTACTCTTCCAGAGCAAAACTTATTGTTGTTTTTCCAGCACCAGAGAGACCTGTCACCAGAATAAGCAAGACAGACTAGTGTTGTCCTGGATTGTTAAAGATGATAACTTCTGAACCAATCTGACATTTTTGTTTTTTTGTGGTGCTGGGGATTGAACCCAGGGCCTTATCTATGTGAGAAAAGTACTCTACCAACTGAGCTGTATCCCAGCCCCCTAATCTGGCACTTTTATATGTACCTAAAACCTTTGTTACAATATTTTATTGATCTTAAATTAAAATCATTAAAGTCTAAAAAGAGTCTAGTATATTAAAAGCCAAGTACTTGCATCTATCTCAAAATTTGACATAACTCTTGGTCCACTATTAGGATTAGGATTTCATAGAAAGTGGGGTTTATAAAATAGAGACCTGAGGGCTACATACGACCCTTGGTGTGTTCTTTTGCCTACAGGAAAAACAGGATTTTCTAATCCTGTTTTCAAGATTAGAAAATTGTGCATATAAACCCAGATTCTGGATTCTTTTGAAAAGCGGAAGATACTACACAGTGGTCTTATCTTCCCTCATATGGGAGCAATTAGTCAGAGAGGAGGGGGACAGACAGCCGCTAGAGAATGGCAGGCCCACCTCCCTTGCAAATGTCACTGAATATCCATCTGACACAAGAGCCCATGTGCTTCCAGATTTTTCCAAAATGATTCTCAAAACACAAAAATGGAGAGTCACCTTGAGCTAGGCTGCTGAAGGATTTAGAGCTCTTAGGAATATTTATAATCAGAGATTTAAAGCTTTGTAGGGTCTTTATGTGACAACAGAGTTACCAGGGGCTTTCCATCATGCTGTCAAAGCACAATGATTTTATAATTTCCAGATAAGGGAGAACACAGGGATAAAGAGGAAAACGCAATCTGAACCACCCTGCACTCTAAAAATTCACTTGTCCTAAAGATCTTAGAACCTGAAGAATATTCCATGGTGCTAAGCCACTGTCAGACGACGCCCAGCATGGAAAAGGAAAAGTTGAGAGGGAAGAAGAAAAGGGCAAGAGGTTAACACAGAGAAGACAGCAGAAGGAAAGAGCAAAAGGTAGAAAAAACGAGAGCAAGGCAGGGACGAAGGTCTAAGAGGAAGGGAAACTTCAATGGAAAAAAAAAAGATAATAGATAAACTGTTTTCAGATATTTTCTTATGTCTCGAAGTCATGCTGTTGGCTTTGACAGAGGATCATTAGAAGAAATAGCTACATGAAGAATGTGTTGTCAGTCTTTGCTAAATCATTGTTGAATGTGTTCTCTACAAGTATGTTATTGGGTTTCAAATAAACACTTAGATGATAAATGCTTAGAGTCAATGCAGGGTTTTGGGGTAGGAGAAAAGGGAATCTTGAATATCTCGTATGTTCTTTCATATCAGAAAAATGAGAGAAATAGATTTTCTTCCATTTTTCTTCAGCTCTCAGAAAACAAAGAGCTAATTCACAATAACTGTATTTAACTAGACTGTTGCTCTATTTATTTTTAATATACTGGGAAACACTATATACTAAGAGTTTTACCATGGGTAAGGCATTACACTAAGTACAGTGATACCTCATTTCATATAGTTCTCCCAAACTTCCATAGATAGGTAACTAATCTTTTTTTTTCCAGGTAACTAATCTTTATTCTCACTTTACAAACAAGGAAATTGAGGCTTAGAGAAATTAACTGGCTAATGTAGGTTGAGTGAGAGTTCAAATCTGAATTTTTGGATTTGAAGTATATGGTTTCTTCTGGTCTGCCTGGTCAATATCCTACTTCTGAAACATAAGAATAAAAAAACAAGCTAGGAAAAGGTGATTTTTTTTTTTTGTACTGAACCCAGAGTTGCTTTACCACTGAGCTATATCCCCAACCCTTTTTAGTTTTTGAGACAGGGTCTTGCTAAGTTACTGAGGGTCTCACTAAATGGCTGAGGAGGGTCTCAAACTTGTGATCCTCCTGCTTCAGTTTCCAGAGTGGCTGGGTTTACAGGCAGCTGCCACTCTGCCCAGTGTGATTTTTAATTTATTCTTATTTTTATGTTTTTGGTCCATTTTATTTCCCTTCCCACCTTTTTTTTATTGGTGCATTATAGTTGTACATGCCTGCATGATTTTCCTAAAGAATAAAATAAGAAAGAGAAAATATATTCTTTTAATGCTTTTCCCCTCTCCTACCTTTTAAAAATTTTTTTTCTTTTCAAGGGAATGTCACATTAGAGGAGTGGGCTTTGTGTGGATGTTCCAACACAAAAACACAAAGGTTTTACTATCTACTGCTACAAGTGGTGTCTCCTAAGGGAGTTGAGGGGGCAGCACAGGGTCCATGAAGGGGAGCTCTGAGCACCTGCCTGGAGCAAGCCCCCTGCCCACTGCCCTTCCTTACGCTAAAGGCTGGCGAAGCTGCTTCCCTGCAGGGCACCGGAATGAAGAAGCAGGACACCAAAGGTACCAGAATATAAAACAGAGAAAAAGATCAGAAGAACAAGGCTGGTTTGGAGAGGAAAGGGAAATGACTAGAATAGCAGAAACCATCCAACCAAACAACAACAACAACAAAACAGAGGTAAGGCAGGTCCCTGCCCTCCAGATTCTTTAGAATACATTGGCTACTCTCACTCAACCTGCATTAGCCAGTGAATTTCTCTAAGCCTCAATTTCCTTGTTTGTAAAGTGAGAATAAAGATTAGTTACCTGAAAAAGAAGAAGGAGGAAGAGGAGGAGGAGGAGGAGGAGGAGGAGGAGGAGGAAAAAGATTAGTTACCTGTCTTATGGAGGTTGGGAGAATTTATGGATGATAAAACTAATCTAAAACAAAACAGCAGTTACATCTGGGATGATTATGAGCACACCCATCATCCCATTCAGTAAAACATTTACTGAAAAGCTATGTGTAGGAAATGATTTTTTTTTTTTCCTTTTGAGTCCAGGCTACTTAAAACTCGTCTCCCACTGTGTATGGTGGTACATGATATAATCCCAGGGACTCCAGAGGCCGAGGCAAGAGGACTGCAAGTTTGAAGCCAGCTTTAGCAATTTAGAGTGATCTTGTTTCAGGGCTGGGAATATGGCTTGGTGATAGCACACGGTGGAGTTCAGTCCCCAGGATCAAGAAAAAAAAAAAAAAAAAAGCCTCAGTTCTAGGCAGCAATTCTCTCTGTTGTCCTCAGAGTATGAGGGTCTTGGGAGTCTTAGGTCCTGAGTCCAGTTCTGTCACTAATCCTTAGCGTTGGCATTCTGTGACGATAAAAACATGAGAAAAGGAAGATTCACTGGGTCACCTGGGTGGGAGCTAGTGATTTCTATTGTTTCCACAGACAAAGGGCACTCCTCAGCTGGTGGAAATCTAGTGTCCTGACATTTGCTCTCTTGTTTGTTTAGGTGAAACAGTCCCCTCAAATATCAGAACATCGGAAAACAAAAAGACTCTCTCTAATCATCCCACGCCTGATGGGCCAGTAAATCCTTGGTGTCAAGTTAGAAAAGCCCCATTCATAACTGCCAGCCAATGCTGGGATGAACGTGAGGAGTATTGAATTTCCTGGAGTGGAGCAAGGGTGTCATAATCCACTTGTCCCACCCTGTCCTGTCAGAAAACTGACAACTTAAGACTTCCCACTTCTGGATCAGATGTTATTTCTAGAGTCAGGCCTTGACTCTCTTTTCACTGATGAGAGAATTAGGAGTCACACCCAGGCTTTCTACTACAGCTCTCAGCCTCTTTCTAAGGTTAAAAATAAGCACCTACGGAGTGCGAGATGTTACACTAATTTCCTTAAAAGTGTGTGCCACATTTCAATTTCAAAAATATATCTCTATAGCTAGGCAGTGGCACACACCTGTAATCCCAGCAGCTTGGGAGGATGAGGCCAGAGGATTGCGAGTTCAAAGCCAACCTCAGCAATTTAGTGAGACCCTGACTCTAAATAAAATACAAAAAGGGCTGGGGGTGTGGCTCAGTGGTTAAGTGCCCCTGAGTTCAATCCCCAGTATACACACACACACACACACACACACACGCGCACACACGATATGTATGTCCATACCTGTTAGCCACACAGTACATCCTCGGAATCCACCCCTTGTTCCAACCACCTGTCCTCTCTTATTCCTGCTGACGTGGTGGGCCTGATACACTACATTGGTAGATTTCTGTTGGTTGTCCTACAAAACAAGACAAGGTCAAGCACAAAATTGGATTAATAAAATACATATTCTTCACCAGAACAATAAATATCCATTTAAAATTTTAATTCAAAACCGATATATGTAATGTCTACAAAACATTTTTTGAAAAAGATTCACCCTTGTCCTTCCTCATATTTTTTTTTTCCATTTCTGCAGATTACCCTGAGACATTAGCCACATATGTATATTTTTCAGAGCTGTGAGTATACACACATAATTTCTTTATCTGTTCTTTTCTGTTAATGTAATTCATAAGAATTTGGTTTCCTGAAAATAATGAGTTTTTAAAATTTATTTTAAATATCAATCTTAAATTAGTAGATAATGTTTCATTGGTTCATGCAACACAACCTGATAAATAACTAATAAAATTATAGGGTAATAACAGATTATATTCATATACTTCGCCAACCTTATCTTTCTTTTATATCTGGAAACAGAGTTACCATTATTAATTCTATCAATTTACAAACCAATAATACTACCTTTAGAATAGTGAGAAATAGAAAGCCCAGTGGTCCATTTTCAGAATACAGTATTCAGCCTTAGTTGGATCCAATTATAGTCATTTTACGGATAGCCCTTCCCTTTGTCTGCCCCAATTTTAAACTTAGCCAATCACATAGATGGTAACCCCCAACTCCTCATACCCAGGCAAAGGGCAGCCTGCCTTAGGGATAAAAGCCAGCAGGGCCACCTAGCAGCCGGGTTTCCTAGAAAGCCCTTCAGGCAGTAGTAAGTTTGCCTTGCCCACCCAACTCTCCAGCACGTTTGATTTCTTGGGCACCTGGTATTTCTCACGTTATCCATCACAATCCCTTCAGAAAATTAGACTGTTCTGATGCTAAACAACAGTTCTCCCCAGGGAGGTGAGGAGACATCACAGGGACTGTGACTCCATGACATTTAGCTATGCACCTGGGGTGGTGACTAGGGATATGTCTTTGTTTCTATAGATGCCTGGCCTCCCCAAATCCAATCAGCTTGAATGGAGAACATCCTAAACACTCCAGTTGGGGGGCATGCTGGGGTGGCTGGTGGAGCCCTGTGGTGGAGCCAGGGAGAGGCTCAGGGTTAATGTCAGCCCCAGACAGCAGTGAGCAGGTCAGAGGTTACTCCCTGAGCACACGGTGTTACTTTCTCACAAGAACTAAACTTTGCTTCCACTCTCCCCTGGGTCAATGTACAAGTCTTTCAAAACCCCAGCAGAAATTCAAATGTACCAGTGATGAGACTTGGGGGAAATTCAAACACCAAGTGTTTTGATTGGGTTAAAAATCAGCCTACTGAAGGAACAAACTATCTGATCCTGATTCTAAACTCTGATTTGAGGTCAGAGGTCTTTCCACATGAAATGATTGTTCCATTCTTTCCCTGTGTTTAAAAACGGGGTTGTCAGTTGGGTGTGATGGAGCACGCCCATCATCCCAGAAGCTTGGTCGGGTGAGACCAGAGGATCAATCCAAAGCCAGCCTCAGGAATTTAGCAAGGCCCTGTCTCTAAATAAAATATAAAAAAGGACTGGGGATGTGGCTCAGGGGTTAAGCGCACCTGAGTTCAATCCCCAGTAAAAAAAACAAATTAAAAAATGGGATCGTCTTTATTATTCAGTTGCAGATGTTCTTTATAGACCTTTCTATAGTATACGTGTGTATGTGTGTGTGTGTGTGTGTGTGTGTGTGTGTGTGTGTGTGTGTGTAAGCTTCCGCCTCCCCTAAGGAGTAGGGCTGAGTATTTGATCATCTTCTCTTCTATCCAAATGATGCTGGGGACTCAGTACTACATTCCCAGCTCCTATAGTTGCCCCTGGCATATAGTAGGAACTCAATAAACATTTACTGAATCAATGAATGAATGAATGAACTGACTTTTGGACCTGATATTCAGATTAAATGTTCTTGAATTTAATCGTTTTAGGAAAAATGGCACAAGGAAATAGAAAAAAGAGGAAAGCTAAATGTTAATATCTTGATTAGTAAACACTTGGCTAGTAAGCATGCATGAAATGCTTCATGTCATTGGTCATTAGAGAAAGGCAAATGAAAACTAAAATGAGATGCCACTGATAACATTTAATGGCAGCAAGGCCATGTCCTCATATATTTGATGGTGGAGGTATAGAGGGGTACAACATCCTGTAACTACACCTGATAGTTTCTTTCAGAACAAAACATTTACCTCCCCTATGATTATCTATTCAAGAGAAAGGAAAACACGTTTCCATAAAAAGATTTTGTGCAAGAATAATCTTAGAATATTCTTATGCAAGAATATTCCAGACTAAAGACTGGAAATGGTCAATTGTCCAGCAATAAAAAAAAAAAAATAGATACTCCCAAACTCCCCCAAAATATAAAAAGCAAAAATTCAACCTCAAATTGAAAAAGATGCAGAGTGGAATAGTATTTTTCAATCAAAAGGAATGAACTGCTGATACAGACAACAGGGATGATAACGAATGGAAAACATTATGCTGAGCCAATAAAACTTTACAGAAAAACTACATTTGCATGATTCCATTCACCTCAAGTTCCAAAACAGGGAAAACTAATCTAAGACAGAACAGCAGTTACATCTGGGATGATGTAACAGCAGTTATATCAAGTTTTATGTCTTGATAAGGATTTGAGGCACAGGGGCATTAGCATTTGTTAGAATCCATTGCAGGTAATGCTTAAGGTGTGTTTTTTATAGTGTATAAAATTTACCACATGCACAAAAAGGGCCATTATAAAAGTAAGCTGCTGGGTGCGGTGGCACAGGCCTGTAATCCCAGCACCTTGGAAGGCTGAGGCAGGAGGATCAACAGCCTTAGTATAATCAAGGCACTAAGCAACTCGGTGAGACCTTGTCTTTAAATAAAATAAAAGATAGGGCTGGAGATATGGTTCAGTGGCTGAGTGTCCCTGAATTCAATCCCAAGTACCATTCACCCCCAAAGAAGTAAGCAAACAAGCAAACAAAAAAGCCATAATAGTATTTCAAATAGTAGAGTTAACTGGTTCAACATGGCTGCACTTTTAGAAAGGGACTCGGATCCCAAACTCGGCATATTAGACTAAAAGACAACTGCTACTGCCCACCTGTGATGTGAACCCCATCAATGTTTAATTTGTTTACAGAGATTGGGTTCCTTTTTCTCTCTTTTGACAGTTTTTCTTTTCTGTAAATAAGCAGTGATCTAGAATAAACCCAGGCTCTGCTAATCTGTGAACTCTGTTATGATTTTATTAAATGCCATCATACCAAGCTTTTTTTTTACATACTTATTTTGTAATTGTAGTTGGACACAATACCTTTATTTTATTTATTTATTTTTATGTGGTGCTGAGGACCAAACCCAGGGACTCCCACAAGCTAGGCAAGTGCTTACCACTGAGCCACAACCCCAGCCCCCTAACAAGCTTTTTGTTTTTTTTAAAATAGTTCACACAATTTACCAAAATGAACTACTCCTCATCACAGGTTTTTATACAAATTTCTATCGCCGAAGCAATATTTAAACAGATAAAATATTTTTAGGTCACCAGGTACTGGGGTCTTTTGGTTCAGCAAGATATTTTGCTTCTTATTTATTTCAAAGTCACCCTTGATGTTTTGCAAAAGGCAAACTAATAAAATAAAAGCAGATGTTTTAAATGATATTTGAACTACAAAGGGGGCAGGGCAGCCAAAAACTTTTCCTTGCTGAAAGCGTTACACTCCTCTAAAAAGCATATGGTGTTCTAAACTTTGGAAAGAGAGTGGCTGTCAGAAAAAGGATCGTCTACAGAAAATAAAACACATGTTGAAGGAAAACATGCCTGCCTCTCTGCATGGTCCTAGGAGCACCCAGACATCCTTAGCCCCTTGACTAACACACACTCAGCAGAAAGTAGCCCAGAAACCACAACGCTATCGTCGTCCTTCTATGCTGGGTCCCCAAGAAAAACCTTGCAAAAATCCCTACTTTCTTCCAGCTCTCCCACCCCCCCCCACATGCCCAGGAGTGGCAAGAGCATGGGTTTTAGAGTCAAGCAAACTTAGATTTGTGCCCACTTTACAGCCTTCTGAGGCACTTGATTGACCAGATTAACATCCCTGATCCCCATTTATTTCTCTGAAAAATAAGAATGACAATACTTTCCTCTTGGGGTTGCTGAAAGGATTAAACAAGATAATTATTTGAATAAAATGGCAAAGAAAATACCAGACACCCAGTGGGATGTGGAATCTAAAGGTACCAGATGGTATTTAATCTGGAGAAATAATAGTAATTCAGGTCTAAATCATCCAGATTTAGAAGGGTTCTGGGGACTTGGGTTGTCTCTAAGGGAAGCCTGGGGAGGTGGGCTCATAATCAAATCAGCCAATGGACAGGACTTTGTATGGGGGGGGGAGGAGTGAATCTTTCTCTCACCCGTGCACACACCCCACAGATACACACATATGATGTCACTGTCATCATTGCTGCCCTGATGGCTTAAGTCCAGCCAGGAAGTACCCACGCTGACATGCACCAGTTGGAAGCCTCCTCTTTCTAACCCCAAACTTACTGCCCTTGTTCTGGCTGTCTTGGAATCATGAACACTTTTTAACCAGGAAGGAGAATGGCCTTTGCCCCAGGTCAGTCGTGTCTGGGCCATGTCACCAAGCCCAGGGTGTCAGTGAGTTTCTCTGCTGGATCCGCCCTCGGCTCCCAAGTGCCAAAGCAGCTTCTGGAACTCAGGGTGAGGCGCCCCGGGTCATGGCAGAGAGCCTCAGCCTTTACTTGAAAAGAACAATCTGGGTGAAAGACTTCAGATGGCTTTGGGGTGGGACGGGACAGGCTCACAGACAACTCCAAGTCACATCACAGTTAAGCCCGTCCTGAAAGAGAGAGCCTGGAGGGAATGAGGAGGCTAGAAAGCACACGTCAGGGTGCAGAGGGGTTTTCGCTTTTGTTTCTGGGTCGTGCATATCTTTAGTAAAAATGAGCAAGGATATTTGAATTCCCT